CACTGAATAGAGCCCAGGATTTTAAGGCCCTGTATTCACAGAAATAAAGATAGGGCACTGGACCTTTTCACACAATTATATATCAACTTCATTCATCAAACAGATTATTCAAATATAGAGCACGGCAAGGGATTTTAAACATTCCTACACCAGGTTTTCATTTTCTTGCTCTTTAAATTAGAATGCCCTCTCAGAAGAATCCTCAACTAGTGGCGCAGTGAACCATTGCCGGCGCGACGCTGAGGGCACAACAGTTTACAAAGATGTGCATGGCGTGGCTGACTGCACTTTTTAAATGGTAGCAAATAAAAGGGTAAATAAGGGAGTTTCCCTTTTTATACTCACCATAAAATCATCAGTGTGCCTTTTTGAGGGACTCTGCTTGCACCAGGGGTAATATAGGAAGCTGGGAAAACTGAAAGGGCTGTACCCTCCAAACTATGTTTAGGCTTTCAGTTCATGGCAACAGTGAGAGGGAGCCAAAGGGCAAAAAGAGGGGTCTGCCGAGTCCCTAATAAACTATAAGAGGCAATCTATGCATTACCCTTCTTGATTAGTTATGCCTGTCCAAGCTCTCATTTAAGCATCTAAGAAATGTTCACATTTGATGTCCTATAAATGTCCACAAATATGAACAAAGTGCCTTCTATTAGGGCTAGTACAAACAACCAGGCAATTTGGGCATATAGGAACAGCTACAATTTTTGAAACAATAGTGTAACATAAGTGAATCTTTTTTTATTGTAGGGTTCAGGTAGACCAGTGGCAGATATGTGGTAGACCTGTGGTTTCCTTTCCACACTGGACACTTGGCTTCAGTGTTTTTCACAGTTGGGAAGGTGGCCGTTCGTTGGCCCATTTGGAAAACTTCAACAGAAGCATCTGCCCTTATATTCCTGCTAGCAAGGTGTGGCACAAAACAAATGTATCCACAAAAGCGGAGAGGATTTGTTGCCAGGTTTAGGAATCTGCACTGAACAGACTGTTTTACTACATGGTCCTACCAATCGCTTGCAACTGTAATACATTAATCTTCTGCTCAGACAGCACTGGGCCAGTTTGTACCTGAGCTCTGATCTCACAAAAGAATGTCTTTTTGAAAAGAAACATTTAGAAATCACAGACATTGAGTCTTCCGGCTTCAAGTTTCCAGAGTCCATAGGAAAACAAACTGGATATTCCTAGACATATAAATTTAAATGTGCACAAATCCATGTGGTGTGGGATCCCCCCACTGTTCAATGGGGCAAACTAATTATGAACAGAGATCGGAGAGTAAGAAAAGGCAGGGTGGGGTGTACGAGAAGTTGAGGCCTGGTTTTGGATGGGTTCAGCCAGTTAAGGGAAGGCATCATGTAGTGCATGCTCTTAAATTTCGTTAGATAAGTACATTTCAAGGACAGGTACACTATTAAGTGGAACGTCTGGCCCTGTATGTTACAAAAAAGTTAGGTTTAAAAAATACAGATTTTTTCCAAACGATGACTGCCAACATGTCCCCCGTAGCATCTACACTTCTATCCACCATTCTGTGGTAGCAGTGCCAAAATGGACGATTTTCTTTCTAGTTGACTACTTCTTGGAGATGGGATCGATTACTTGACAGCATATTCTGTCTGGTGACTGGACTACTGCAAATAAAAGCCTTTAGCTTTCCAAGTAACCATTGTCTGGGGTACCCAGAAGAGTCACTTCGTGATTTCAGGGCAGACATTTGAAGCTGGGACGATGTGAAGATGCAAAGACTCAATGATGGCCGCTTGGGAAGACAATAGAGCTGTCTGCTGACATCAATCTCCGCGTTGTTAAAACTTCACATGACCTACACCATGCCAAATTTGACTTGATACCACACAGCATGAGTGGCAGTTATACCTGCATGAGGATCACCTCTTCTATTTATCATGGCTTGCAGAATTTAGATGCTCAGTTCTAGACTTTGTCAGACAGACTGGCTATAGCACTGTGTGACTAAGATTCAGCCAATGGTTGTCAGGCTGGATCTGCTAGTGTCCAGAGCCATCACAAAATCTGCAACTGAACTTTAAGGATGCGACGAATATAGAAAGTATTACAGAGCAATGATATCCTTCAAAGGATTAAGAATACAACAAAGAGCACACATTTTAAAGATTTCCATCACCACAAAAAGATGTTTTCAGCAACATGGGAACATCCTATCATTTGATTTCCAAATCTTATTCCTGGCACATAAGAGAACACCAATTTTGTTTTGCAGAAAAGGAAATAGTTTTAACACCACTACAATACTACCAGCAATCGTCAGACTCCAAGAATCAGGATTTAGTGTCTTTGTTTGTACCCAAAAAGACAACAGCGCAAGCCAATTTAAACCAAAGCAACCATCAACCAGTAAATGTTTTGTGATGGTTTGTTAAATGGCTGCCCATACACATTTGACATCTCAATGGGTAAAAACATCTGGTCATCCATGGCTAAAGCCAACCAACAATATCTGACTGCAGGTATTGTGTAAGAAAAGCTTATATAGATAAGGTTGTAGATGGTCGTTTTATAAGTGCCGCCTTCATTGTAAACAGGACATCCAAGCAGATTTCTGTCAGTTTCTAAATTCAGCATTACGCCATAAACTCCCAAATTAGACCTCAACTCATCTGCAATAGTAGGATCATGCATGGGTATCCGACGCCACAAAGCAAACCGTTCCTGCTAATCAAAACAAATGCAACTTACAAAAGTGTGACGGTTCAACCAATGCTCAAATACCTACGTCATTTAAAGCCAACAAAAATAGATAAAGCCAAGCAGATAATAATAGACCGCTGATCTCAGATAAATTCACAAAAACAGATGGAACTTGGGAGGGGGGATAAAAACCTACTGCGCCATAAAAATAAACCTGCATAGTCTGAAATCCAGCATGGCTGTTCTAAACGTTTATAGTAACAATAAGCTTCTGCAAACGTAGGGCTGGATGGACACATCCAAGCAGATGTTACGAATCGGAACTTACCTTGTAGGCCATCTCCACAACTTACCTTGTAGGTCACATCCACAACTTACCTTGTTGGCCATTTCCATCAATTATTTACATACCTTTATAAACATCAGTCAACATCTAAGCAACCATCTATGCATGAAACGTTTTCTGAAAGGCATCACTAAACTGCAAGTGTCCGCAATCACTGTGCACTTACAGATAGCTCACCTTGCATGGGATCAGTTTAAAATCCTTAAATTGGACGCGGCCCACATGGTTACACGTATATCTGCAGGATTGTCAAACTTGGCAGAATAATGATTATTGATCATTACTCTATATGTAGGATGCAAAATGTATGCCAGAAATCAAATCAGAATTCATTAGTAGTGAATATTGTGCACCAAGGCCCATACTTACCTTTGGAGAAAAAAATACCTACCTTGGCACAAAGTGCTCTTAAAACAAATTTGGTCTGAGCTCTCAGAATAGAATCCCAACAGCACTGTTGACATACCTGTGGCCTAGAGCCCCCATGGCATGGGTAAAGCCTACACTTTCCAGAAGCTGTCCCAGACAAATCCCAGGGGACAGATAGCCCACCATACCAAATTTTGATTAACCACGCCACAGCAGGTACACACACTTGTCTGTTGTAGCCAGTGCTAGCTGCAACTTCAGCAGCACGGGAGGCTCTTGCATGCAGTCTACACTGTGGAAAGGAACGGTTCATGGACTGACAGACCTTCTATACCAGAACAAGGAAGCACCCAAAACTTCCCAATTTTAAAAGGAATGGCGCTAACGCACGTAACTTGCTCTAACTTAAGACGTGGTAAGAATGCACCACAGGGCAAGTGTGTTTCGGCCCTAAAGCTATCTTAATATCTTGCTGAGACATAAATAAAATGCCTTTTCTGAAGAATACTCCATGCAACCTCTTGAGCAGGTCTCATGGCAAAATATCTTGGAACCTGATCAGTGAACGAGCTAGAGGCAGTATGCAGCAGCATGTTCTCCAAGTAGGGCAAACTTTTTAGCCTTTCTGTTGCTCAAATCAACAAGACTGGCAAGATTTGAGTATAGTTCCCTTACAAGGACCAGCAGGAACCTACGTGTGACCACTATAGATGGCCAAGTAGCCTCCTGACAACACAGGAAGCACTCAGACGACGCAACTAAACCCTATGCACAACGCTGATGTACTTGGGTCATGGACAGACTGAAGTCCAGGTTCAATCACCAGCACGCTATGGGTTTTATTCTGAAGGCTCACTTGACCACCCAATTTTTGGTTTAGAGTGTCATCCATTGATCGAGAACTACAATGGTTTCCATCAGCAAAGAATGCTGGGAATAGTAATACGTAAATGGAAACATAGTGTGTTTTTTTTCAATAAGGCAGCCAATGTGAATGTAGTAGCCACCAGCAAATCGGACTTCTGTTTAGACAGGAGGGAGAAGCCAACAGATCATGAGATGCTGGGGGGGGGGACAGGTTATAGCAACTTACATAAAGGGAGGATGGGTCTCAGACAGTCCACATTTCTTTTTGCAACCTGTTCTATGGTGTACAATCCACCACACAGGCCAGGGATCAATGCCCACCAGGGAAAGCTTTTTCCCTCAGGGTCCATTCACAGTAAAGCAATGCATTGGTGTGTTAACGGGCACATGAGGGTAATATGGTTTGCATTTTAAGAGCCCGTTCATGAACATAGATAGTGCATGGTATATATGTTGTATATTGAGCTCCACTGTACAATGTACACACCGAGCAGGTGAAGTGTGAACGAGCCCCTGATGAGGTGCCCAGACATGCACCATACACCTAATGTAGGCCTCGGCCAACCTATGCAGTATGTTTATGTGGAGACCTTTTTGTGCCATCACACCTAGCTTGTATAAATCGAGTAATTTGATTGGAGGACGCGTAAGACTGTACTGTCTGAGAGCACCCTTCCCTAAACGAGGCCTAGTTGTGATATTTCATCCAGCAGATGTACGTGTAAGAGCACAGCGGACCGGCCATACTCACCTCTCCGGGATGCTGTTCTTCTTCACCATGCTGCTGGCACAACGAGACGACCAACGAGAGCGCGCTTAGATCGGGCGGCGAACGTACCAAGCAACACGGCGCCCCCTATTACCAGGGCGGACCGGAGAGCTCAGCTACACACAGAGGAGGGGGCACTCTCCTCCGTACACTGCGCACAACTAACAACACCCTGACTGCGTCTGCAAGTGACCGACAGCACACACCGGACAGCAACCTCGCCGCGTCTAATCACTGTGAAAGGATTGCTAGGCCTTCCGGTGACGTCACGGCAGTACGCCGCTCTGTACGGCGCATGTGCGACACCTCCCACTACTCCGAGACTTACGCAATCAGTGTAACGCAGTCAACTCCTGCGCATTGGAGTGTTTTGTGCCTTCCTCATTACGCAACTAGCGTAGCGTATTCAGCTTCTCTACAATGTAATGTCCATGTCCTGCTCATTACGCAATTAGCGTAGCGTATTCAGCTTCTCTACAATGTAATGTCCATGTCCTGCTCATTACGCAATTAGCGTAGCGTAGTCATCTTCTCTACAATGTAATGTCCATGTCCTGCTCATTACGCAATTAGCGTAGCGTAGCCAGCTTCTCTACAATGTAATGTCCATGTTCTGCCTATTACGCAATTAGCGTTGTGTAGTCAGCTTCTCAGCGCCATTGGAAGAGCTGAATGTTAATTGTTTTCTCTCCCGATGCTTAGAATGTGATGTGTACACACCATACCACAAGGCCAAAACTGTGTTTCAGTAATATGTAGTTTGCAAATTAAAATCTATTTAAACTCTGCCAATAAACTTCTCTCATTTGCCTCTTTTTTTGGTTGGTTGAAGCTCTAACACACGAGCGCCCGTAAGCTTATGACGTAGATTTTAACCTGCCAGGGAGCCACAAGTGCTGCGTATAGCCTCCCATATAAGTCATTGGTGTTGTAGACCCGTGTACATGCGCAGGTAAGCAGGGAAGCCATCTCCATGCTCCCTCGTCAGCAGGTGACGAGGGAGCATGGAGTCAGCTTTCTGGCCACTCAGGAAGCCGGGCGCTGTGTAATGACTCGCAGCCCGGCTTCCTGATACCAGAAGCTCAGGTATCGGGCTAGGAAGTGGAGCATTTGAGCGAGTACGAGTCCTCGCCCAAATATTCGGCATCGGCACCTATACCAATACCAGTATCCGTGCATCCCTACTGCACAGCTCTGCATATGTGTGTGAATGAGGCCTAATTGTACAATCTTCTTCAGATCTACCAACATCTAGGTAGTGCAGGGGCCTGACTAGTTTAAGTGGGTTGGTTAGGTAGGTCCTTACATTACATAGTTGCTGATAAATTAAAAGAAGATTGTACAAACATTTACAACAAGATTGTAATGTGTTTGGTCAGCTTAAAGCTGGGTTGAGAATCTCCCCTTTCCGACCTGTTGTATTCAAGCAGCCGCAGGTGCGCAGTTGTTTAAAAAGCCCAAAGAGTGACTGCACCTGATTGGCTGCACCTGATTGGCTGCAGTCACCGTACGGTTGACAATTTGCACCCTGACTGCTTCAATTTCTCAGTTGAAGTTTGGCAAGCTGGATGGGACCAACAACTTTCAAAATTTCAATTTCAAGCCTTGTATTTTGCAGTTTAACCAGAATGAAAATCAAGCAGCTAGAGGTGCCTGCACAAACACTTAGGAACCCCTAAACCAGCATGAGCACCGTGTTATGCCAATAGGGACTGAAGACCATGAAGTAACATTTGCCCCCATAACTATAGACAATTATGTCTAGGAGGGGGCAGTTCACTGGATTCGGGCTGCCATCTTTGCTTCAAGGACAGAGGGAACATGAGATGTTTTGGAAATGTGTTGAAAAATCCACAGTGACAGCTTAGAATTCCTGTGCTGCTTATATGAGTTATTTGATCAGATACATTAGTCAGCCTTTTAAATCAGTTATTGGGATCTGCCCAGTTTTTCACATATTTTAATGTGATTTTAATTTTGCTTTGATGTATTCATTCAATGATAATGTACATTTTAATAGCAAATTTATTTAATCGGATGCAATTAAATACCAACAGTCCTAATTCTTCGAAGTATTCATGTTGTGTAAGCTCCCCACCTAGTGGAGAAACATTGCACTGCAATCTAGATAACAGAGAAGGCTCTGGAATATGTGTGTAGTACTTTGCCCAATAAGAAGATCATTATGGGATGCCCATTATAAAAGCAATCTAAAGACTAAGACCTTTGTCAGTCCAACAAAATAGCTCCAACTGTAGACCCTGAGCTGCTTTCTCAGTACAACTGTATGTATGGTATTCAAATATATTTGCAAAATGCTGGTGCTACTTACATAAATGCATTGTAAGTAAGTCCCTAAGCATCTAGGGCACATAGCAATCATATTATTTGCTACTGAAGTGCACTGTCACAATTCTGCTCTTCAACAATTGGCCTTATATCGGCTAGTAGCTGTGAGCAGATGTGGTAAATACATGAACTCACATGAGTCTTAGAACAGTATAGATGACTGTTATAATTAATTGTATAAAAGGTAGTTTTAGCCTGAATAATTGTACTTGCAGCTGCACAGGGGCATCTAAAACCTTGAGGCCCATTAAAGGTAGGGGCTGCCTCTAATGGGCCCAATAACCTTAGTGGCACCCTGGCTGGCTCTTTGGTCTGTGGGTGGTTGGAGTGTGCAGGACCCAAAAATAATAGATTGAGACTGGAGATTCTCCTTATAGTGCTGTATTCAAGCCAATGGGGACTCAATGAGCATGGCCTGTGTGGAAAATAATTTTGCCAACTAAAGCTAATCTGGTGTAAAACTGATTAGACAAACCTTGCCCAATTGTTATTTTTCTCGCTCTGATCAGTTACAACCAGAGGTGTCTGACCTTCTGGCCTGCTTCATGGGCCTAGGAGCAGTCAGATTGTGTTTACATGTATGTACAAGACGCTTGACCTATGGAGACAGAAAGTATATATCCTGCCTTGATCATGGCCCCTGATAATTGGTTTGGAAGACCCCATCTTAGCTGTATAAGTAATCAAAATGATCTGTGTCATAAATATCTCTGCGGATGAGTTTGAAAATTGCAGCTGATTACAAATTACCCATGATCAATTGTCATATGTAAAACAATGTCAATATTTTGCCAAAGGAAAACGATGTGGCCAACAAACTGAAACACAGGAAAGATCTGACGGATGCTATGGGTGAATAAGAGGAAGTAAAGTATAAGTCATCCTTACAAAGGATAATGAAATCTCAAAAACATGTAATGCAATATTTAAGAATGGAAATTTCCTCTAAATGTATAGACAGTGAGATAAAAACGATGCTTAGGAATGATCCCAATAACACATCTGATCCTTATCTCTATAGCCTAACCCTTTACAACACACTGTACCAATCATACAGTATATGTCAAGAAAAATCAAGTGTAATGTTTTTTTTAAATACTTATATTTGATTACTCCTTCTTATAACCCTGTGCATAAATATGTGGGTTTTGAAACCATTTTTAGAAATGTACGAAGTCTGAAGAAGGGATCTAAGGAATCCTGAAAGCTTACATATTTAATAACTTAAGTTAGCTAATAAAGGGTATCTCTTGAACTCCTGTCAGGAGGTATCGTCGGCCTGGGCCCGGAAGCGGAACCCACTGGCAGGAACGGGCCGTAGTCCGAAAGCGAGGTACAAAAGGGGCAATCCAAAGGCTAAGTCAAAGTCCAGTCCAGGTCGAGACAGGCAGCTTGGTTCAAGAACGGGAAGGCAGGCCAAAGAGTCAGCAACAGGAAGTCAGACGAGGGGTTAGGAAATAGCAGCAGCAGCAGCAAACACAGGGGGCTAGGCGATTGCACCATGTAGGTAGAGTAACTCAGCAATGAGCCAGGGCTCTGACTGGGATTTTTTACCCAGTGGGGAATTAAGGCCACCCCCTGCTTGTCGAGGCAACCAGGAGGCTTCTCCATCCAGAAGCCAATGACAAAGAGAAAGGCAGGGTGTGTGCTGGGAACCTCCCCCAGCAAGGCCCACACCTGACACCAGTAATGGGCGCGCGCGCCCCCATGTACGCGCGCAGCCTGTCCACCGCGCACACACCCGCTGCACATTATGCGCATGCGCACCCGCAACCCTGGCGCCGGGAGTCCTGCCAGGAAGGAGAACCTGTGCCCTATGCCGCACTCGGCAACGCTGAGGAGTGGTAAGACCCCTGGTACCCTGACAACTCCAAACTTTCTGTAGAGATGCACATAAAAAGTTTGGAGTTTATGTGACACCATTAAATGGCATCAGAATGATTTGGAAACCTTTTCAGAATTGTATAAAGCCTGAAGTTATCTAAGAAAACGAATCACATGTATTCCAAACTTCCTGCATTGCTTGATGGCTAGCATGTTACAAGACTCTACTACTGCCAGAGAGTCAGTTCAGACTTTGCTAAGTGTACTAATGCTGGCCTAATATAATGCAATTATACATATGGTTACCTTGAAATCGTATACTTGCTTTCTTCATATGATGCTATAGAATACCTCTTTTCTTGAGGAAGCTGACCGTGAAGCGCGTCGAACTGAGCCACAGCTAATCACTGATTGAAGAAAACAAAGACTATCTCTCCAGATCATTTTCTTGGCAGATGAATGATGTATTGATTGTAATGAGATTGTCATAATAAATACCAGTGGTCTAAGGAGGTAACTATGGCAAATGGGGAGGTCTGAGGTTCAATGTAACAAGTGTTGTTAGCTCACTGTATGTAATCAGTATACAAGTTATAAACAAAATACGTTTTCAAATCAAAACCAAATTTAATGTTTTAAGAAAAATATGTTTTAAGAATTGCCAAGTATGTAAAGATTTTTTACAGAAGGGGTGGGGTGCCTAGATAACCCATCAACCCAACTTGGGTTCCTTATTGTTACTGCTAGAGATCTATGTATAAATGTGGTTAAAGCTGAACTTCACGTGGATCAGAAAAACATAATTTGATGTAGCTGTGAATTAATAAAAAAAGTAGATGTATCATTACATGCAACTAGCAGAGGTTCTTGAATATGGCCTGGCATTAGCCATCTGACATTCAATATACAGCAGCCATTCAGACTGGGAAACGAAGGTGTCTCTAAGAGCCAATCACGCACTGCTATTTGCTGACAGTAACAATGCTGACAAGAAGAGAGGGTGGTGTGACGATTCATCATTGTGCTGCAGCAAGTTTATTGTCCATTTAGCAGGGTGTGGATGAAGAGGAGACAACCCTTTATTTCTCAAAGGATGTAAATCC